ACGGCCACCATTTCCAGGTCCTCCCACCTCGCCAACCATTTCTTACTGACTTTGGAAGACGCATTCGATGGCCCAGACCCACGCGGACTTCTCGCAGATGTAGACGGCGGCTGCGGAGACGGCCGCCTTCGGGACTCGGAGGAACGAGAGGATGACGTTGATGAGGAAGATGAAGAACGCGAACGTGTTTGCGACCTTGGGGAACGCTGCTCTGAACCCGGCGGTGAACCCGTGGGCACCCTGTAAATCCACATCAAAAATCATACTACTGAAGAGGTAAAATGAAACTGAAGAGGCAAAATAATTGCATGAGGCACTAGTGCGGACTTCGATTTTTCTTCACACAAAGAAAGATGTCACTGTCAGTCAAAATTGTGTCTTGATGTAACATCGCAAGTTTCATACCATTCTAGGTTCTTCCTGCGTGAAAATAGTGGCACGCAAGGTTTAATTGGGTGTCGGGCTGCATATTTATCGCAATGAGGATAAAGATATTTGTTTTCCTTGCTTAGATGAATTTTTGTCAACTTTACGAACACATTAACCGCCAATTCCAAAGCATGTCAGCGTGCGTCACATTTGAAAAATGAACAAAAAATCGAGAAAACCTAAATTTCCCTTCCCACAGAAGCTTTACGAGATTTAAGAACAGCTAATTTTTGTGCGCCGAAAAAAAATTTCTGCGTCAAAAAGCACATGAACAGTTAATCCGAACACACCGCCTCAATGCTAATCCTTTCAAAGTTAACATCCGAAGTTTTTTTCTAAAAAAAAAAAAAGACAATGCATATAAATGTACTAACCTTGGAATCGAAGGAATTGCAGGGATCCTCGCCACTTTCTTCCCGCCGACCTCTTTCTTTTCTTCTTCAACCTTTTCTTTTGACTCTTCTTCCGAGGATGATGACGAGCTGCCCTTACGACGACCGTAATAAGAGCGTCGCGGCGGCGAAGGAAGCTTCACCACAACTTCCGGTTCCGGCGCGGCGCAAACGGGTTCTTCAACAACAACCGGAGTTTCGATTTTCTCCACAATTATCCTGAGGATTACAGGAAGAATTAAAATTGAAGCTGTTTCAATTTCATTCTCCTTCCTTAAGTTTTAGAAAAACACAAAACCTAAAATCGTATGCAGTCGAAAAATGAAATATTTTGCAGATTTCTAACGAAAATATAATGCCAACAATCTACACCTGCAAAAACAGTTAATAATTCTTCCAAACTGTTCTGGCTAAAAACAGGCAGCAAACAAATACAAACTTCTATACTATTTTTAGAGCAAGGGAAATGGTATATAGGAGTTAGAAGTCTGTTTTTCGCAGTGTTTGTTGGGAGAAATTGAGCTGGTGACTGAAGCATGACATTAATCAACAGAATCCTCCAAGTGCAATGAAAGGGCGCTTTACATTCGTTTGCAAGCTTGTATTGTTTTTTCCACCCCGTGACTGATGGCATGTTATATGATAATAAATACGAAGAGAAACAAACTTACTTCGGTTTTGATTCAGCTCTGATGCCGCCCTTCTTCCTACGAGAGGACTTCGAACGGGATGAACTTCTAGAAGAATCACTCCTCGACCGCCTAC